CATCCCCCAAAGCCCCGGTATCGATTATAAGCCCCGGAATACGCCACGAAGTGCCCGTGAAGCCCGAAAAATTTATCTTTTCGGTTTCGAAGCCCGACCTTCGCAGAGCCCGGTTTCTCAATAAAACTCCTGGTTTTATTAGAAACGATCGTTTTAGGAAACGAATTGCTGCCCGATTCTCATCAAAACATGTGAGTGTGTAGTTACTTTCACTTTACACATAGATATGCAGTATTTAGCTTAAAATACGTGCTATGTGTAAATATGTTAATTGTTTATTTGAGGTGACTGTTGAATAGATGTTTTATACAAGTTTTAAACTGTATATGTATTTTATCTACAAATATGTTGGGTAGAACATGGGTAGTCAAAATAGTCGGTGGGTGTTAAAATGATGAGAGGCCTCGGTGTCGGTGTTGTTGTTGTTGTTGGTGAAGTCGTCTAACGGAGTATAGATGACGACTACAGACCTTTCTAGACAGTCCAGTGGCACACTAGTAGGTTCGCAACTTGTAGTTGTTGATGAACTAAATGTTCATTGTTGTACTCCAATCCCCCTCATGGTTGCCTTTAGGACATGTATGGCTGAGGAGTCCCCTTAGCAGTAGTGTCCAACCCGATGATATTCCTTAGGCTAAGTCCCTTGTGTTAGGTTTTTAGGGACGTAAAGTGAGGACAACGGGAATGGGTAATCAGGGTTATTGTTGATTGGTGAACTTAATAAGTTATTATTATTGTGCGTTGAAAACCCTATATGCTCACCAGGCTCCCAAGCCTGACCCACTCAGCTTTTTATGATTACAGGTAGTGGACCCCGAGCATAGTCGGAGGATGATGAGAGACTTTTGGATTATAGGCCAGTAGTTGTAAATAACTGTCGAAAGGCTTATAATGTCTTGTTTATGCTTTTGATATGTATCGGAACATGACATCCCGAGGTTTTGATATATATGGAAAATATATACCTTCTTAAAGAAGGGTTTTGATAAACTTTTATCATATGTTGTTTTGGGGACCAATTCCGCAACATCTTTTAAAAAGATTTCTCTCATTTTATTTTAAAAAGCATAAATTAAATCGGTCTTTTCTGGCCGAGAAATTTGGGGATGTCACAATGGCAGTTGGCAGAGCTACCAAAGGGCAAGAAGTCTTTGGGTACGCGTTGGGTTTTCAGAAATAAGCAAGATGATAGCGGGGTTATTGTGCGCAACAAAGCTCATTTGGTGGTTCGCGGATTCAGGCAGATAAAGGGTCTTGACTACACCAAAGTGTATGCTCCCGTTGAACGTTTGGAAGCCATTCGTATATTCCTAGCATATGCTTCCTACATGGGATTTACAGTTTATCAAATGGATGTCAAGACAGGCTTCTTGTACGGAGTCGTGAAGGAGGAGATTTATGTTGATCAACCACCAAGGTTTGTTAATCCAAAGTTTCCCAATCATGTCTACAAACTGGACAAGGCTTTATATGGTCTGCATCAGGCTCCTAGAGCTTGGTATGCTACCCTAACTGAACATCTACTTGAGCATGGATACACAAGGGGAACGATCGATTAGACTTTATTCATCAAGAAAGTGGATGCAAATTTGATTGTTATATAAATCTACGTAGACGACATCATTTTTGGGTCGACCAACATAGAGCTATGCAAAGAGTTAGAGGATGTAATGAAGAAAATATTTGAGATGAGCTCTCTAGGTGAAATGACCATGTTTCTCAGGTTACAAGTTCGACAGGATTCGGCCGACATTCTACTACATCAAGGCAAATATGTGGAAGACATGCTAGAGAAATTCGGGTTTCAAGACTCAAAAATAGCTTCCACTCCAATGGCCGAAAAATCACGGTTGATGCTAGATCCAGAAGGAGAATTTGTAGATCAAACTGAATGTCGATCGATGATCGGATCTCTGATGTATCTGACTGCCAGTAGACCTGACATCATGTTTGTTGTCTGTCAATGTGCTCATTATCAGGCTAATCCTAAAATCTCCCATTTAATAGTTGTTAAAAGGATTTTTAGGTACCTTAAAGGTAGCCCTAAGTTGGGTCCTTGGTATTCCAAAAATCCTGAATTTGATTTATATGCTTTTGCTGACAGCAATTACGGAGGTTGTGATCTTGACAGGAAATCTACATCGGGTGGATGTCAGTTCTTGAGTGACCGATTGGTGTCATGGCAATGCAAGAAACAGCAAACGGTGCCAACCTCAACGGATGAGGCTGAATACATTGCTGCCTCAGCCTGCTGCTCTCAGGTTATTTGGATTCAACACCAATTGCTGGATTACGGTTTGAATTTTCTTGACACCCCTATTTTCTGTGGTAATGATGCGGCCATTCAAATTGCTAAAAATCCAGTTCAACATTCAAAAACCAAGCACATTGACATTAAAATTCATTTTATTCGAGACTGTTATGAGCGTAAACTCATTCGTTTGGAACAAATTCACATTGATAACAACGTGGCGGATTTGTTCACCAAACCTTTCAGTAAAGCTCGTTTCGATGTGCTTGTGGGTTTTCTAAAAATGATTTGTTTCGAAGATTAATTTTTTCTTTTATTTTTTTTTTGTTTAAATTTACGCATTTATGTTATGTTATTTCTTCCTTATGCACAAATTTAGGGGGATAAATCAAAAATACAAAAAAAATTATAAAATCAAAAATTCCAAAAATATGTTCTCTTTCGTAAGTGTTCTTGGGAAGTGATATGAAGTTTAATGCTAAAGGGCAATATGAGATGTGTGTAATGCACTGAAGCTAAAATTGTTTAGACTCTATGTTCAATGTGCTGGTAGGCACGAATGATTCAATGAAAGGACTAGACAATTAAACTCATCTGGACTTAGATAGTTACATTTGGACTGACCACGTGACGCTCGGATAGATTGAGCAGTGAGATAAACAAGGGAGCCGACGAGATGCATTAAAGTTAATTATCTAGAACTGTGGATCAACACTTCTTCGACGTACGGACTTATGTCCTTAATTCTGGTGTTGATAGGATGACTGGGGGTTCTGATAAAGTAGGTCTGTGTGAAATTGTTTTTCTTTCTTATCCTCTATGTCAGCCATATGTTGTCCCCTTTGCGTGATCGGAAGATCCGACCTAGGACGCAACATATGCACCTCTATTTCTATACATCTCTCTCTATGCATCTTTCTATCTATCTATGCCAGTCATATGTTGTCCCCTCTGCGTGATCGGAAGATCCGACCTGGGACACATCATATGCACCTTTATATCTATCTATCTCTCTATCTGTGTTAGTCATATGTTGTCCCCTCTGCCTGATTGGAAGAGATCCGACTTGGGACACAACATATGCATCTCTATATCTATCTTCTCTCTCAAATAATTGAGCACTCACCTAAAGTAAAGAGTTCCTTGAAATTCCTTGATTACTATGGTATGTCGTGAAATGGGGAACACATTCTAGTGCACTTAAAATTGAATTAACTAAAAGTTGACTGTAGATCTCGCTGATGAATGTAAGTGGACAACAATATCCTTGGTCGTCGTCAGCTAAATGGTCTTTTAGGAATATAGTCACAATATCTTGTCACTTTTGATATGTCCAACTTTCATATATCCTTTGTGTTTAAGTGGACCACAATATTGCTGATTGACCAGAGCTATTCATGCATGTGTGTGCTGAGAGATAATATTAAATTGTTCGACAACTTTTTATCCCAAAATGTTTGAAATTCTTTATTAAAGTGTGTTTGTTTTAATTTTAATTTTAATTTTAATTTTATTTTTTATTTTTTATTTTATTTGTTTTCATTTTTAAATTATTCAAATTATAAATTTTATTTTTTGTTTGACATTTAATTTATTTTTATTTCAAGTTTTATTTTATTGTTTTGTGTATCTCGGAAATGAATTAAAATCAATTAAATGGATGGATCCCATCGAATTCGGTGGCCCAAAAGGCCGAGAACCCAAAATTTTAGAGTTTAAAAGAATTTTTCCGTTTCATTTTTCAAAATCACCACCGAAATCACCGAAATCTGTTCCCTTTTTCTCTCAAAACCCTAGGCGAAATCACTCTCTACTCATCGCAAAAATCCTTTCATCTTCGGCTTAAAATCATCAAATCTCTTTTGGTTTCTTGCAATATTTTCTAGGTATGTAGTTTTCGAATATCATGCTTCCAGTTTTATGGTGTTTTGAAGTGTTTGCAGGTGTTTAATGGATTTTCCGCGTGTTGACGGTAGTTTCCGGCGAAATTGTCAAAAGTGTTCAATTTATGAATCGTCGGGTTTTTCTTCGGGTTTTCGGTTTGACCCGGGTCCAACCAAAATCAATTAAATCCAACCGAAAATGATTTGCTTTACCAAAAACGTCCCTTTTGACCGAAATCAACAAAGCTTGACCGAAATCAACACCTTTTGACCGAGATTATCACTTTGACCGAAATCTACTCTCTTTGACTGAAATCGACTATACTTACCAAAATTTAAATTGTTGGGAAAAATAATATTTTAATTTTTGCTTTTAATTATAATTTTTATTATTCTCACTTGACTCGTTTGGTGCAGTCAAATGGCGGATCAGTTGAAATTTGTGGACTCTCACAATATTGTTGGATATCTCTTAGATCCACCTGCGGCACACAATGAATTCAAATCCATGATCGTGGGTTTGAATAATTGCAGGATTTCCCACGCTTTGCATTCTAATCCAGTCATTTACCAAGACCTGATTACTGAGTTCTGGAAGAATGCCTCAATCAACAAGCAGGGAGCAGATGAAGTTGGTGCTGTTGAATCAATGGTGAAGGGAACTCTAGTGGCACCATCAAGATCAAATCTTAGTTTTTCGTTTGAGGTTTATGATGATGATGTTGATGATGTTGTAGATGATGATGTTGTTGATGATGATGATGATTCTGATGATGATGATGATTATGATGATGATGATGATGATGATGATGATGATGTGAATTTTCGTCTGTTTGTACCCAACTAAGGAGCAAGTCAATGAAATTATGATTACTCCAGTTGAGACAGAGACTGAAATCAATATTTTCAAGCAACCGAACATTCCAACACCCGAACAGATAGAAGCACTTATTAAAGAATTATTGTCAACTACAAGGAAGCCTCCCCAAGCAGTTCCTGTTACTGTTGAATCTCCATCTGAGAGTGATAAAGACAAACCAAATGCCTCCCTGGTGCCAAAGAAGCGAAGACGTAGAGATCGAAGGCCATGAGTGCCTATTGCTGATCCAGTACAACTGCCAACTTCGAATACTGAACCAGCCTAAATTATTCAAGATAATCAAGGTCCAACTGTTGAACCAGCCCAAGTTCATCAAGGCATTCAAATCCCAACTTTTGACGATGACCTCAACTTCGTAACAAATGAGGAAACTTTTGCCTCATGGAGCTCTTCTGCCCCACCACCTCCAGAGCACGATGCTGCATCTGTCAAGTTCGCCAAGCTACTTGCCTTTCAAGATTTTATTCCTCAATCAAAAGGGAAGGGAATTTCTATTGGATCATGGCATGGAGGTGATGAAGACTCTCAAAAAACCATTTCTGAGCTTAAACAAGAGATCGTTCATTTGAAGCAGGAGTCCATTGAGAAGGACTTGCTGATTGGAAGTTTGGATGTGAGGGTTTCAGAGCTTGAGAAAGAAAATTCTCAAAAGAATAAGCAGGTCTCAGGCCTTCAAGCCAATCTTGGCGGGTTGACAGCTCGTTACTATGATGTATAAGACAAATTGATAGGAAAATTTGGTAATGAGTTCAAGACTTCAAGCTCTGATCATGGAAAAGCTCCCGAGTCATCTAAAAGAGTCACAGTTTCTCCTGCCCTTGATGTCAACATTGATCAATTTTTGTCATTTGGCCTTGTCACTATTGAAGAGAGAAGGAAGAAGAAGAAAAGGATTGATAAGCTGAAGAAATATCATATGCTTCTGATGAAAAATTCTGATCAGAATGCACCTGGTGATCAACCACAGATGTTTATCAAGGAAGTTGGAAAAGGAAAATTTGTTGATCGATACGGTGATCGTTCTGGAATTCGCATGTGGGGATTTGAAGCTGACAAAAATATGTGGATTATGAAACGAAAGAGCGGAAACATTGAGTATTATGTGAAGAATATTGATTTTGTGTCTTGGACAAAGGTTGATCTTGCAGAGCTGTTCCACGCACCGTTTCACAACCCATCAAATGATCCCAATGCGTGGGCATTTAAAAAGTTCGTTGAAGACAAAGCTAAAATGAACTTTGCAGGCATGAAAACAACATCATCATTCATTAAAAAGGCCAAGGGTGTCATAGATCGTCACACCAAGACTCTAGTAAATGTCATGTGGCCGCCTACGACTAAAGCGAAAAAGATTCCTATCACTCAGCGTTTACCTGATGGCTCGTTGAATGATTTATTATTTTGGGTCTATGATGAGGCGGAATCAATTGTGGTTATCAAGACGAAAAAGGATCAGATTCGACTTGTTGATCCTAGGGATTTACTAAAATTTGGCGAGCATGATACTCATACCTTGTCTAAACATCATCTTTTGGTGGAGAATGAATTGTTTGAAGCTGCTGCGAAGGATTTCACCAGTATGATTGCAACAATCATTGATAAGAAGTTGTGGGCAGGAGCATTGGGTGATTATGACGTGCATATCGTGGAGAAGCCTTGAAGTCAGCCAACAATAAACCAAGGGGAGATAAAAAAAATTTCTTCAAATGCACACGATTATATTGATTAAATCGCCTGGTACATGTGATAACCTTTTCACAATCGAATATGATATGAATGAACAACTAGAACAAAAGTATTCGACTGAAACATATTTAAACCAAATACAAAGCCTTATCACGACCCAAGCCCACCTGACCGAAATCACCAAAGTGATTTCGGTCCCCTAAACCGAGAACAAATTTAGCCCATTAACAAAATACAATTCTACCAATTGTAAGTCCCAAATCTATGGATCTTATATGATATCAATCGATCTATTTAGTGAATGCGGAATGTAAATCAAATAGTGATTCAAGAACACACGAAAATATCTTCAAATGCACACGATTATATTGATTAAATTGTCTGGTACATGTGAGAACATTTTCACTGTCGAACATGATATGAATAAACAACTAGAACAAAAGTATTCGACTGAAACATATTTAAACCAAATATAAAGCCTTATCACGGCCCAAGCCCACCTAACCGAAATCACCAAAGTGATTTCGGTCCCCTAAACCGAGAACAAATTTAGCCCATTAACAAAATACGATTCTAAGCCCAAATACAATAATAGTTTATAATCCCAGCATAAACCACTTAATATGACCCAACAAAGAGGGTTGTCGTAATCATATTATGAATTTGAGAATGCAATTAATACAACCAATATCCGTATTGATCTTTATCAGACCCTTAAAATCTACTATCGAAATTGTTTCCTCATACCTATTTTCATGAATTAGAGCGAAACCTTTTGCCATTTGAAGGTGCATAAGTTCCCATCTATGTAGAACTTTCATTTTCAACCTACAGTCATAAGACAAGGTTTAGGTGTAACGCCCGCAAATTAGGTCTAGTCAATTAAGATATTATAAGCGGTAAAAATTACTTTTTGATAGAATATTATTTAAGATAATAATCTTAACCAAAGTTATAGTATATGTAACAAGGATTTCATGCATATAAGGAACGCCTAAATCTGACTTCTTGAAAGGAAATTATGATTTTTCTAATATTTCAGCATAGCAGTATACGAATCAGAAACATAAATTGAAAACGGTCAATTTTTAGGGAAAATCAATCTAAACAATAGTTGAAGATCTCATCAATACCTATTTGTAGATATAAAGACAGTCGAGAACGGATGTCGGACGAGAGAGTTATGAATTTTTAACGGACCTTAACAGTCTAAGTCTGTTAAAATATTATTTTAAAAATAAAGTTAATGTTAGTCAACGGAGTCTAAATGAAAGTTGTAGATATCATCGATAGCCACACATAGATATAAAACCCGTCGAAAACGGATCTCTTATAAAAAAGATATGAATTTTCCAAGAAATAAAAGATTTCTACTTGCAGCCGCGCACACAGACAGCATGTGCGGCACACACTGAAACTCCACTAGATGCTCGACACGTGTCACCAAACAAAAACTGCCACGTCACCTGACACAACCAATTATGCGGCGTGCACCAATCATTTGCGCAGCACACACTACTTTTCAGTCCTATAAATATGTTCGATTCTCAGTTCATTTCTTTAAACATCCAACCTGATTCTCTCTGAAAACTCTTTCGTATCTCTAGTCCTTTTACTCCCTAAGTTCTCGACTCCATTAGCGAGACCCTGCGGTGTCAAATAGCTAGCAAATAGAAGCTCTCGGATCAGCCACATAATTCCCGGTTTTCACCAAAATACTCTATAACTTATAAGCTACACTTATTTTATTCAAGTGTAACTTTTAATTATAGTCATAGTCGTTATTATGAATCTATAATTAAGATTTATCTTTGATTCCATGTCACTATACTGATTGATCTTATTACGGGGATGATGTCTAGGCTGGATTTAGTGAGGTGTTTAAAGTGGGATTTCCAAACAGTATACTTTGTATACTGTTAACACGCTGTCACGCGTGTATTAAACAAGTAAATTATCACTGTTCGTTGCACTAAAAATATAGCACATGGAAGCAGGGTCGAATCCTCAGGGACACAGCCTAAAAGTCAATGCCCTTTTTGCATCAGGCACATTCTAGTCAAGAAACAGAATATAAAAGGGGGATTTTGAATTAAACTAAAAACTAAAAATGCAGTGATATTAAATTTAAACGAAAATCAATAATAAAAGCGGTTTTAGCTCTGCTGCGACTTTCCTAATCATGCAACCAACCCAGATTTGATTATTTGAGATGTGTTCAATCTAAGCTGGTACTGAGAAAAACTAACAGACTCTAGTATAATTTCGTTTACCTTATTTAGTTAACCAAAATAAGTTCTTCAATTAACCCTAACTTTTTACTGTCTAATAAAACAAGCTCTTAATTAAGATCAGAAAAGTTGCACTAAGTTCTTTGTAAAACTCCCAGCAATACCTAATACTTCTCATAAGCTCGGAAGCGTAAATATATGATTTTTACAGTTTATAATAAAGTCAAATCCCAAACACGGAACCGATTTATTACTTGTTACTTATTACCAGTTGACAAGAACAATTACGTATTCTATAACTAATTAACTGGAATGATAAAACATTAGCTAGGTGATCAGACTAACAAGAATCAAAATCAAACATTCATTAAGAACAAAACTGAAGAATCTAGATAGAAACACAAATCAAAAACCAGATCTAATTATCAATCACATGAAAAGTACTCGTCTTTGCAGAACTGAAAACTAAGGTTTTATCCAGACATGGCTAAAATATGATAAAAACAAAATGAAAAGAGACATCAAACAACTAATCTTACTAATCTACTTGAAGGAAATGATCCACAGTCTTGAAATCTTTAGAAATCGTTGAAATCGGAGAAGAAACGCCTCCAAAATCGTATTTTCATCGTCTGGTACCTCTGGAATCGTCAACTTAGGTTACTGGAATGCTATCAGGGTCTAATTATACGTCCAGCAGCAAAAACGACGCGCATGCGATCGCATGTTTCAAAACTGCGATCGCATGTTTTGAGAAAACACATCTCGAGACTTTTAATGAAGTAGGATGCTATTTTGGCACTTTTTGGCAAACCTGCGATGGCATAGAGGGAACCTGCGATCGCATGTTTTGAGTTTTCACTCCCGGATGAATTTTTGGCACAAAAAAACCTCGAAGACCAGTTGCGACCAAAGATGTGATCGCATAAAGGCTCCATGCGATCGTATGGACCAAAGTTGTGATCGCATGTTTTCTCTAAGACGTCCGAAATTTCGTCTACCTTTCAGATAATTTTGAATCGCGTCAATCGGAGTTACGGTTCATGAGATATGGTCAAAATACCGACAGGGGGTCAAAGTTGCCAACAACATCCTTTAACTTTAGATTGCAGATTCTATCTTCGTGTCATCAATTCGATTGAATGTTTATTGACCAAAGCATCTTGCAAGCATTACTCATAATCCTTCATAAGTCCCAAGCTCCAATTTAAGCTCCAAACATGCATCCAGCTGCTCCTAAAGCACTGCTCCACTCGAACTATCTGAAACTGACATAAAAACATTAGTAGTACAAGAATTCTAACGAAAGACATGAGCTGAACATTATTTAAATAAATGACATGCAAATGTACAAAATATGATTCTAAATGACAATAAAAACTACCCTATAAGATCCATGAAATGACATCTAACATATACCAAACGTACCCTACCTCCAATATGATCCTACCTGGTTGTTCCTACTTTATAGATCTTGATGTAGACATTGGGATTAGTGAGGAATCTAGACTATCATTAGTCGCCAGGAATGTAAGACTAAGACTTAGTAATATGAACCTAGGTCACGTCAGAGGAAAAGATAAAGTACCAAGGTGAATGGGACATACACATCCCACCTTTTAACTTTATTTGATGTTTTATTTCATTTCAGGGTACTGTTTTCTTGCAAAAAAATTAGCAGGGGCTATTGATGTTGTCAAAAAGGGGGATAATTGTTTATTAGTTCTGCTATGTTGTTACTTGATCATTCATAGAATAGCAGGCAATCTTGAAAGAAGAATGTTATACATTTAAGGGGGGA